GTTAAACAAGCACCCTATTTCTGCTGAGACTAGCATCTGTAGAGGTTTTCCTATTGAATTCTAGTTCTGAATCTTATGTCCTATACTGTATCATAACCAACTTTTGTTGCACCGTGTATAATTATGAATACAGTCCAAACAAAAACATACAATGAGATCACATTTTTGTAATTTCAAAACCATACAGGTTTGAGTGAGGGTGAAGTTCATGTTATAAAAATTACCAAAATCTTAGGTTTAACTATTAAGTTTTTGATTAACTCAATATTAGTACAATATAAAAAATATTTCAACTTTATATTCCTTAAATTTAAAACTATCACAAGTGTTAAAAACGTTTAACAAATTAATTTAAAAAACATTATTTCAATGACAACATTCAACCATTTTGACTTTGTTTTCAATCCTTAAATCCGTATTCTTCCCCAAAAAAGTTAGAAAAGCACTTGGGCAAACAGAAGTTAATTATTTCTATATTTATTTTGCTAAGTAAAAATTGTATAAAAATTTAAAAATTCTGCTCGAAGATTTATAAACATATTTTAAACAATGGTATTCAGACTTTGCCTGTAGCTATTTTCAAATCTGTTCGTTAGTAGTTCTCATTTTTTTTATGACCTCACAACATGTAATGTGAAGGAAGATGTATAATAAAAAATCTTCACACATTGAATAAGAATCTTGAGAGAAACAATACTTGGTGAATTGTATTCTCAAAATATGACAATTTATTAGAAAATAAAATCTAGACTTTGGGCTGGGCAGAAATCTTGTAAAAGCTTGAAAAAGGCTTTATTTACATGCAAAACTCCTTCTAGATATACAGAAATGCAAGTTTGACCCCCCCCCCCCATTTGTCTTTGCAAATTACACTAATCGTTACAAAATGATAGAATATGAATTCTAAAATATCTGAGTAAACAATTGTTAAAACAGTTAGAATTTCTATTTTTGTTGAAATTTGATAAGCAGGTTTGCACACACCTGAAAGGTGCTCACTGGTCAAAATATGGTTAAAATAAAAAGGTCTTAGGTCATTTTGGTGAAGAGCATTTATCAGAATTTAATGCATTGTTCTGCTTTTCACTGTTGATGTGAGAATAAAGAAATATTATCAAGTCTGAATGCCTAACCTGTTACTGAATCCAAAGCTATAATTTATCAGCACAGATGAAGATGACCCATCAATTACAATATTAAGCTGTAAATTTAGAGACCCTATTCCCATGAAATATGTACACTCATTATGTAACAAAGAAAACTAATACACCTGAACATTTAAATCTCAATACGAAGCAGCACTGACACTAATTTATTCAACTACCAGTTATATCCAACAACTTATGTAACTGTAAATTAGATATACAAGCACAATATATTGGGGAAAGATAGTTAGAAAAAAATCAAACCTCTTCTATAAGTTAGTATAAATACATATATCGTCATTCATATAACCATTTTAATTTTATAAGATTTTGCACTTTATTTACAAGTTCTAGATGAAAAAGATGGGCTAAAACTTAAACAACATTAATCCTGTACTATGAACTGTCTTTCACATTAACAGGCTTGTCCAAAGACTGATCTATTTTCACATTTTGTTAATTAGATGAATTATTCATTAATAAGTAGTATGGATATAGAAAAGTGTGAAGCTGATTTTCTTTTTGTGTTAATTGGGCTTGCCTGATGACATGGTATTGTGGGAAAACTTGATGAAGTTTAGAATTATATTTCCAAGCAAAGCTACTTCTTGGTCGGACTTGCTCTTATTTTGAGTGAAGCTGTGGTTCAATTTGGTTCCATTAATCAGTATTTAAAGCCACAGCAGCTAAAAGCTGACCTGAGGAACAGATATGTATTTATATTTATAATAGACATCTTTTCAGGTGTCAATTGGTGTTGGGTCTTTTGTAGTTTATGTCCAATCTCTTTCCTTTCAGGCCAAGTCGGACTTATTCACATTCAAGTCCAATTACTAGTGATTGGTCACTAATATTAATTTAATCTTGATAATTAAAATGCTTTAAAGCATACTATTGCCATGTAAAGCTGATTCCTTAACCTTGAAAATTTTTTTTACATAAAATATTGGGCAGAACTTGAACATATAAATACCTTGAATTTCAAACATTATGTGTAGTTCCTTGACTGTCAAGTTAACAATGGTCAAGAGTAAGACTTATGCATAAACATAAGTACAAATTTTTAATGTAGACTGGATTTTATGAATCACTTTATGCTGATAAGTGAAACTGTTTTCATGTTAGAGATTATCAAATATTCATTTTACCATAATTTATTTTCATGAACTTTCCCTTTTGGCAAAGAAAATAAATAAGAACAACAACAAATAATAAAAAAAAATTCCCCCTATTTATCTGTTTATTTTTTTTATATGTCCATGGAATGGACACATCTATAAACTTTCAGTACACCCATATCTACGATAGCTTTAATTTTTACAAGAATTAAAACCACAATCACAAATTTATAAAATGCAATCCTTACTTTGACCTACATTTAAGTGTATAAAGCTGCCAGAGTAGGGACTAAACTTTATAAATTTGTGATTTTTGGTTTTAATTCTTGTTTCATTACTTTTTTGTAGCAGGATACCTACTTCATTTTAAAATTCATAACTTTTTAATACTCTTGTTTGTATGTTTTTTGTTATACCTGAATAAAGTATATACTTTACCTTTACATATCGATGAATAGACATGCAACAGTTTCTAGTGTCATCTGTTGGGTTGAATTGGATTTAAAAGATATTTAAGTACGTGCATGATATGTTTACTATTTATCAAAAAATATGTTTACATTTATCAGAATATCAAAAGCAGATACCCACAGACCAATTAAGTATGCTGAAGAAATCTTGTAGTGATAGTCCAAGTCGTCTAGGGGCTAGCCCCACTGACATCATCAGGTAGGTAGGCAGGTAGTACACAAAAAAGTTACTGCTTTAGAAATTTTTGAATCGTTATATTAAAAGTGTTAGTGACATTTTTAGCATACTATTAGTATATATGTGAATAATACATCGTAACCAACACTTTGAATGGTTGGTTTTTCAATAGGGTGTTTTTTCGGCATGTGAATGGTTTGGAAACCTTGCAAATCCCTACTATATACTGTTTTCAAGGTCATAGTTAAAAAATTAAGATCTCAATAGTATACACCCAGTGTTACATTATAACAAGCACTAAGGTTCTTTCAGATAATACTGTAACCACATAGAACTGTCAAAGCACAGTTTTTATCTGTACATGATGCTGTGACCCTTGAGAAAGGCAAACTGAAATACTGGGTTTGAATAAACTTGCTACTTTCTGGAATGTGATCAGTCATTTTTATTTTGTAAACATGGTTTCAATCCTCTAGTCTGCTGTGCAAAGTTTAAAAACTTCAGTACCATAACTTGAGCAATTGTCTCAGCAGATGCTATAACTTTGTTATGCAGGTTTAGTAGATAGACACAGTTCATAGAGCAATAGGACAATAAAATTTAATAAAAACAGATGTAAACTATTACTTAAGACTGTTCAAGATAAATAATTGTAATTTTCTGTTATATCTTGAAGTCACAGAAAAAAAATTGGGTAATTTTAGATTTATTTCATATTTATCTGTAGCATATATATGGCCAGTTAAAATGGACTGGGCCCATATACTATTGGAGTAGAGAAAATTACCAATAAAATATAACAGTTTTACTGGAAAACAAAACTGTTGATATTCATTTATGAGGTTCTGAATGTTATACAAAGGAAAACTAAAAACTGTAAGATGAAAAAGTATTTTTAATCGTAGTATGAAATATATCTTGCAATAAGACCAGTCAGAGTCTAAGTCAGACAATAAATCCATAAATTCAGAGAAAAATCTTTAGTAAAAATACTTGTTTAAATTAATTTGATTTTTTGTGTACAAAAGATTTGATGTTTACTAAAGATCCTAGAGAATTATTTACAAAGACAATCATACAATTAAGTAAAAGATGTTTGAAAACAGGTCAAATTTATTGAAATCCAGTGTTCCATGAATACTAAAACAATTGGTTAAGTATAGGTTCATGACAAAACTTGCAAGACTTATATGGATATTAAATGTAAAAAAAAAGATTACACGTTAAATATGTATCAGTAAGAATCCATGTATATGTAATAAATATTGTTAACATCAAGCTGAAAAACAAAAATATTACTTCTAAGGTTTATAATACTAAGAAACAAATCAGTCACTGTTTTAATGATAATGGCTAAAGTTTGTATGCAATTTATAAAAATTTTATAATTTGGTTACTAGTACTACGTTAAAAGTTGCAGCTACTGGATATATAGTTAGCTCTTATTATATATTGAAAATGTTTTTTGTTGTTTTCTTTCAATTCTCAAAATTGTTTATTTTTCATCCCTTTATCAGGCTCATAAGCACATTTATATGTATGCTATGTATGCATGCATATTTCTTGTACAACAATCAAATATATAAGTATATGAGACAGACACACATACAACCTCTTTCAAATGTACATGCAGTCAAATTAATGTTCTTAAAAAGAGAAAGAGAGGAGAACACAAGAAGAAGAGAAATTTGGTAGCATCCACCTGGAAAAATGCTTCAACTGATCCAAGCACTGTCCATTAAAGAAAGATTCTTGAAAACATCAATACAACAAACTTTCTATATAATATCACTGTGGATATCAAAATACTGAAGTCTCTGTCAAAGCACATATTAGGAACTTTTAATGAGAAAAGTAAACTTAATATATAGGTCATATTTAAGAAGTATCTTATAAAGCCAATTCTGCCAACAAATTGACTAGAAGTACATAATGTCACAACTCAATATAAAAGAAAACCAAAACATAAAATAATTAGAATGCTTAGAATTATTAGTCAGATATTTTCATTAGTGATAACATTTGTGGCTGAACTACACACTGAAAAGAATGTGAAGAAGGAAACAAAAGTGTTGTGTTTGAAACTCACCTGTGGAAGCTGCGTTATGCCTCGTTTGGTATATTTGTTATCTTGATGGGAAATATCTGGCAGCTTTGATGTAGAGGATATAGAGGAATTATCTAGTATATCCAAGTTCAACTTTTGCTGAGGATGTGATTGATAATCAGTAGTCTTGGGTGAAGGGCATCTACTTGATGGGGAGGAACTGGAAGTTGAACTGCAAGAGCTTGAAGAATGCTTTGCTGCAACTATAGTAACAGGGCTTGATACATACACACCAATATCTAATGCAGTGTCAGAAGATGTTATAATATTTGATGCATTTTTGGTGACACTCTCACAATTATCAACTTCTGAAATAACTGAATGTTTATCTTTTGGTATAATACTGTCAATTAGAGTAACAGGATGAGTCACAAGGCTAGCTACATCATTGGTAACAGTATCAATTGAAGTAACAGAAGTATCAGAGTTTTTAAGTACACTAATTGGTTTTACAGAAGTCACAGAACTTTTTACTTTAACATCACTGATAACTGTAGCAGTTGGAGAAGTCATGAAACAAGCTACATTTTCAAAACTTGTGCTTGCATTAACTGAAGCTGTCCTCTCACTTGTAATGACGTTTGCTAAACAAGTCACAGCTATTTTCATTGTCTCTTCATCAAGATTTTCATTCCATCCAGTATCTTCAACTTCACTTGTTTGAACACCTTGTGAACAAAAATCTACAACTACTTGGTGAGCTGACTCCTCCCTAAAATTCATGAGAAACTGCATATCTTGAAAAATATATTTAAAGAGTGAAGATCCAATACTCTAACAACTAAATGCTTTTTATTCAAACATTTTTTGAAAACATTGCATTTCACGTACAAATAATTAGTTCCAAAACTTAAGGTAAAATTACTAAATTAAAAAACTCAAACTTAAAACACTGATGTTTTGAAACGTATGAACTTAATGCACTTAAGGCATTTCAAACAAAAATAATCAACAATTACATCATGGTTGACTAGCATTTGATTTATAATTAATCATGCAGCTTAATCAATCTACTGAGAAAAAGACAAAGGATATCAAAATTATACAAAATCTATATCCATTTTATCATTTGTTTTTACTTGTATTTTCTTTTTACTTCAATTTATGTGTTGTTTAAATGCCCCCTAACGTCTTTGGTCAGCTACATTTCTTGTTTTGTTTATGTCAGAAAACTCGGTCCTCTAGGTTTTTTGCTCAAGTTGTTTGTATATACTAGCAAGTCATTTGTGTTTCTAACCTGCATTAAAATTAACAGGAAAATGGTAAACCAGATAGGAGAAGAAAAAATTTTATGAAAAAAAATAAAACTGAAGTTTTGGTTGAGTTAACATATCAGTCTGGTGCTTTGTGGTGTCAAGAAACACTACCGTATTATTATAGGCCAAATCTGATTGAAACACTTGTGGAAAATTAGTTTAAACTAATGACTATTGTATTGAGACTTTTATTGGTAATTGATTTTAAAACCAATTTTCTTTATATCAATATATTTCTCCTTAGCTAGGTATAGAATCTATTTATTCAGACCTGATTTATCCAATAATGCCCTTGGGAGAGTCAGGTTTTAAATAGCACTATTAAAAAAAATCCATAAAAACATGAATGGAGAGCAGTCACCTTTGCACAACTGTCTGGAGGCTGTGAAGGGTGATATAGATGTGGGATGTTGTGGTCTTGAGCACTCACATCTTGCTCTCCTTACTTATTCTTCTTTCTTATTTTATGTTTTCTTTCTTTAACACACGAGACTAGCAAATAGACAATAAGGCTGGCAGACAATATATCCCCAGTGCTACATTGGTCTTGCTCCCATAATCACCTCCAACACCCAGGGCATATCTTATATCCCACACTGCAGCCTGTGCCCTAGTGATGTTTTTAATATATGCAGTATTTTTATTGTAGTGGTTAAGGCTTGTTTAGATAATTAAAATGTCTTTTTCCCCATCACAGGTTTGGTCTTGCTGATTTTAATGCAGTTCTTCCTTTTGCATATCTTGAGATTAGAAACTCAGTAACCAATCATTTTATCTTTTCTTATGTACGTATATATTAAATGTGATAATTAAATAAACAATGAGTTACATATTTGGAATTTAGACAAATCAAAACAAATTCTACATTCAAAGATTACTGAAAATTGAAATTCAAAAGTATGGGCTTGTAGTGAACAGGCATACCAAATATTAGGTCATCAAGAAATTAATGTCATGTTTTGGAACACTTTCATTAACCACCCTCCAAAAAACATACATTAAGTATAATAGTTAAACAAGCCACCTACAAGTCACATTAGTGTAGCCTATATAGCCTATGTAAAGTTTAGTATACACTAATCCCTCATAGTGATGGCACACAACAAGACATGCATTTGGCAAGTGATGCTGTTTGAATACAAGGGAAACAACGCTTCTGTAGCCACAAAGAATATCAAAGAAGTTTATAGAAATGTATTAAACATTCATAGGTGTCAATGATGGTTCAGCAAATTTCACTGAGGTGACTTTAGCCTTAAAAACTGTGATGGCAGAGGCCAACATGTTGGAATTGATATTGATGCTTTGAAGACGCTTGTTGAGTCTAACCCAAGGCAATACACTCGTGAAATGGCCCTGAAATTGCATGTGTCTCATCAAAAAAGTACATAAACATCTAAGGAATATGGGAAACTCCATAAAGAAGGTGTTTGGGTGCCTCACAAACTCTCCGATTATCATTGTTTCCAATATGTGTAGGTTGCTTCGTCTCTTCTGCCGTGTAATGTGGGTGAACCATTTTTGGACAGAATTGTCACCGGTGATGAAAAATGAATTCTCTATGCGAATATTAAACACTAAAAACAATGGCTCAGTCCTAGACAAAAACCACTTCCGACCCCCAAACCTAGACTCCATCCACAGAAAGTGATGCTTTGTATTTGGGTGGGACATCAAAGGAGTAATTAATTTCGAACTCCTCAATCCACAGCAAACTGTCAATGCAGAGATCTATAGTCAGTAACTGGAATGTTTAGATAAAGCCATTCTTCAGAAATTCTATTCACTCTTCAATCGGAACGGTGTTCTTCTCCACGAAAATGCACACCCACATGTGGCACCTTTGACGCATCACAAGATTATGGACTTTGGTTGGGAAGTTTTGCTTTATTTGTTCAAATGAGCCAAGCATGTATACTTGTGTTTCTTTCAAAATATATATATACATTCAACAGAGGAATTACTTTTTACCTTGTATGACAAGCTCTAATCACATGTAATATCCCAAATATTTTTTTCCAAATCAAATATTTCACAGTTTGGAAAAACAGTTTGATGAAGGGTGAAGTGGCATGATCTCATGTTTTACCAAGACTTCAACCATAGAATGTTGGCTGAAACTTGGGTTACTTAAACCTTAACACAGCAATAAATAAAAGCTTTTTTTACAGCTTTTTATTACCTTATAAATTGAAATTTGTGTATCAGTTACAGTTATCAATTTTCTTTGCTTGTAGTGTAAAATGTATCTATTTCCCAACATAAGAAGTGCAATTTGACTGTTATTAATGGGTGCCATTTAAAGCATTAGCTTATATTTCTATGTGTTAAACTTACAAATAAGCTTATTTTAAGGGGTGAGTTATTTTGTGCTTTAAAGCCTCATTTAATTTTTAAATCCTTGTATCTTCCAATAGCAAATTTTGTGTAATTATGCACATCTTCTGAAACATAGTGCCACAAAGAAACAAAACCATTATATTTAGTTTCTAAAGTGTATTGATGTAAAAGATATCTATGTAAACAATTCATATGTTGCAATTAAAATCTGTTCTTGTTTAGATATGTTTATGACTTTCTCTTTCTATATTATAGAGCTTTTTAAAAACAAAACAAAAAAACATTGCACATGCAGGATGTCACAGATTTACAGGTGATTTCTCACCTGTAAATATGTGGGCTAGCAGATTGTGCAATATAGGAATAAATTAGAACATGTTCATATGTTTGACTAGACTTATATTTTTTACCATATTACTCTTGCATTTCATTAGATGAGCAATCAACCCTGGATGAGTTAGTCACATATTGCAACAAATACAATTTTAGCACTAAATAATTACTTATATCTTCAAGATTTAACATGAAATAGCTGTAACTGTCTTGTGAGTTTTAACTTTCTGCTCTGGTTAGTTAGTAAGTTGATTATCATAAAAGACAGGATTTAAAATACTTGTCCAAAGTAGGAATTGTTTATGGGATGAAAGCATTTTAGTTTTTCAAAACTCTTCACCACATTACTATTTTTCAAGGACTTACAAATCCTAGAATTTATAGATTTAGAAGCATTTTTGATTTTTCCAGAACTTATACACACCCTTTATTAAAACTGGTCATTAAAACATAACTTACACTTCTGGTGAAACTGGGGATGTTGGAACTTCTTGCAAAAGGTCATTGGTCAGAGTAGAGCTATCTTTAGTGTTTACTTTCTCAGTCGGGGGTGACAGCTCAGTCTGGGTTTTGTTGTCACGCATAGGTGGTTTCACAACAGCTCCCATCTTTGTTGATAAATGGCTTTCACAGATGTTATTTTCAGCTGTAGGAGATTCCTAAGCAATGAGAAGGGAATGCATATGTTGTTTTTTATAGCAAAGCCACATTGAGCTATCTACTACGTCTATGAGGGGAATGGAACCCCTGATTTTAGCACTGTAAATCCAGACTTACTGCTGTCCCACTGGGGGACAAAGGGAATGCACTTAAAATGGGATGATAGTAAAAGCACAAGAATAAAATACAATAAAACCCTAGAACTTTTGTCAAATGGACCTGTCACCTAAGAAAAAAAAACTTAAAAATGCTCAGGTTTTACAGTTGTTTTTTCATGTGACAAACTGACAGTATTTAATTTTAAAGAAAATTTTGTAGGAAGAGTAATTCATCTTTGAACGTCTAACAAGTTTCATCAAAATATAAGTAACATATTTTATTTGCTCTTCAGAACAACAGCTTCAACAAATAAATATTTTAAAAATGTAGCTGTGAACATGATTATGCTACACAGAATTTAACATTACATAAAAATGTATTCATCTGTTAGAAAGCTGGCTGTTTTTAAGTAACCACTTAGCTAAAAGTCTGCAAGAACTTTCATACAAGTGGCTGTACGAAAAATATTATACAATAAAACAAATGTAATTATGATCCTTACTCTATTACGTAAAGTCCCATTCTAAACAGCCAGGTAACCCTATGGACAAGGGCAAGTTTAAAAAATAAAACTATGCTTCTTATAATTCATTGATGCTCCTAATTTATTCATTAGATTTATTCAGCAGACAGTAAATATGTAGCACCAATGACAGTTATTCTTCAAAACCAGTATGAACATTGGTTCACTGGGGTGATGAGAATACAACTAAAACCTCCATACACATAATAACATAGAACTGTTTAGCAGTATAATTGTTTTTGACTTTAATTAGCTGACTTGTGATTTGTTAATTACAATAATGACTAGTGTATAGATCAGACACACTATTATTAATGAGGAGTGGAATTCCCCTAACACGTGGTAAATCAAATGATAGATTGGGCTTCATATTTTAAATAGTTGTTTGTTGGATAATTCAGAAAAGAACAAATTAGTAGCATTAATGCCACGTTCTTCAAATCCTATATAAAGGTTCACTTTGGTGAGTAAAATACAACTAAAAACACAAGACACATAATATTCTCTATAAACAGCCTAGTCTTGTTCTTTCAATTTGCCTTTATCTAGGGTTATTGATAAAGGTTGAAATTTCCTGTATAACTAAGTGAATGAGTGGTGAATTAAATGGTAGACTGGGCTTGAATTTAGTTTTAGTTCTTATTCCAAAGTAGTTAAATAGATGTTATTTACATTAGTGAAGTATTTTATCTTAAAATAGATAATTAGAAGTTATAATGGTGAACAGTTACATCCAGCCATCTCAATTTAAAGTTTATACTAGTGATTGGTTAGTATAATTCTATCATAGCTTTTTATAAATAATCCTTCATGACTTGTGAGAGTTAAATACTAATCTGTTTATAAATTCACAGTCTTTAAAGATTTATGTAACTAATGTAAACCCATTTAACAGTTTTCCCTCTGTTATTAGACTGTTGCTAAATTACTTACAGCTAGTCAATATAGAGGAAGCTAGTTTTCTCTACCCACTTTACCACAAACATATTTGCTTTATCCATTCAGGTGGTCTAGTTTAAAACTTGTACATTTTAAAGTAGCTATTGATAAACATTTCCTTGAGACTTTCAGATTTCAGATATACATGAAAACAGCGAAAGCACACAGTCCTAAATAATTTTATTATATACCTAAAATAAATGTACCAATTCTTCAGGAGCATTCTGATGGTAGTTTTTAGAATTAACTCTTGTTCTTGTATATATTTTTGAACATTAAATTTTAAGTTCATATAAAACGTTTTTAACATACAATAGTTTGTTGTTCATAGCTTGTCATATTCATATTGTAATGTATTATAAAAGTGAATCATAACAATGTTTTCTGAAAGATACTTGCACTGTAGGAAAAACAATGTTCATTTTTCTGTGGAATTTACAACACAATCAACACTAACCCCAAGTACTGCTGATAATTCTTGAAAATTCCAGGAAACACAGAAGCATGTTAGAAAAATGCTTTTAAATAACATTTACTGTTAATATTTTATATACAAATGAGATTATTTTAAGTAATTAAAGACAATTATGAACAATGGTCTAGTGATATTACTATACAAACAAAATATAGGAAAGAAAATATCCACTGCCATTTTAAAATACATACATACATTTCAATCATGGCTACAACATTATAAAATGTTTAGTTTTATACAAACAATATTTGTATATTCACTGAACATTGTAATGTATTCACAAGAAATCAGTCTTAAAGTAAAAAACAATACTAAATAGCCAAAACAAGTGCTTAATACCATGCTGAAAATATCAAATAATTTAAAATTTATTATTTTATAACTTTTGACAATTGCTAATAAACTCCAATTATGTGTTTCTTACCAGCTAAAAGGTAAAGACCCCTCCCCCAATGGCATTTCTCATTTTACATTTGCAGAACGTAAAATACTTTTATAAAATCATGTCAGTTGAAAATTAGTTTTGTTTTCAAAAAGGTATATAGTTTCATAATTTTATACTTGATATTACTTTCATTCTACATCTTTTTGATAGTTTCACAACTGTTTGAAATAAGATGTTATAATGAATTGGTTGATTAGCTTTGCATAACCAGTTTAAAAAAAAACTGTGGTAAGACCTATAAACTAAAATACTGAAAGAGAATATAGCCAGCCAAATTCAACATCTTCTAAGGTGATGCAATACTGAATCAAATTTTTACTCATTATAACAACACTGGATCACCAAATACAAAATTACAAGTTGCTGCTGATAGAAATGCCTACATTTACAATTCATAATTAGAAAAAATAATTTTGAAACTCAAATAGCACTAATGTGCTTTTTTATGATTTTATTTATTTATTTTTTTATTATCAGAACCATACCCACCTTAGATTGGTTTGAATATTGTGATATTTCAAAGCCATTAAAGGAAGCTTATGTTTCAAATAAATCTGATTGGAAATAATGACTGTGGAAACATTTCCACAAAAAGCTTATTGGATCATTTATAGAAGGAGCAGATATGGCAATGTTATTCAAACTATTACTTTATGACTGCCAACTTAAATATGTCAAGATGGTTATCTGTTACTAACTTGATGTTTTCTGTTGAAAACCCAAGCATGAATTAAGTAAACATCTGGAAGTGGGCGAGTGTGAAACAGAAATGAAACTTTAAAAGAATTCCAGAAGCATCAGAAAGAATGAGTTCATAAAGCAGGGTAGTAAGCTTTGTCATGTAAACAATCAAAATCAAATTGTTACCACCTCATAACATTTCATTAATGATAAATAACATATGTAAAATTAGAAAGTGCATTTTACATAGTGACTTAACCCTTCACTTCTGACACTATGTAACCCATGCACAGAGCTAATTTACAGTTTTGTAAAAATGTAGATAAATCTTTATTTGGGGCTAATAATAACAGATATTTAATAGTATATGTTAGAGAATTGTTCCTCTACACCATTTACTAACAAAAACTGTAGTTCATAGTTCACTCACAATAGTGGTACCTTGCAGTAGTGCAAGAGGGGGTGCTTGGCTAGACAAGCAGATTTTACAATGACAGATTGAAAGTATAACGAGCTGATAAAAGCAGCTCGTATGCTGCTGAAGGCAGTTTAATCTAGAGGGGTCTGGGGGCATACCCCCCAGAAAATTACTATAATAATATAACTTGCAGTTACTATACAAGTTAATGTAAAATATGTCAAATATGACACCTCTGCTTTGTATGACAAATTTTAAAACAATGGTTAGTAAAACAGTTCAAAATTGCTTGTTCAGCAGTATTGTGACAAATACATTTCAATCTTTGACAACCAACAGAAAACAGAAAAATGAGCTTCATGGTTTGAAATTTTTTATGGGTATTATTCAGAATTTTGACCACATTTTTTTAATATAAGACCTTCTCAGGTTATTTTCACTCACAATATGCTGGCCATAAGTGTTTGTTTTACTTCCCAAATAATTGATAAAATCCTCATATATAAACAAATTGAAATAATCAGGTGGCTGAAATTCTGTTGTATGAACTTGAATACCAGCAGTACCACTGAAAGTACCAACGTCTGGAGTGTCAACTTTGCTTTCGTCCAACCAGTGATCAACTAAAGGTTCTTGTACTAGCTTTTATCACTTATTTTGAGGTTCATTCTCTACAGTTTCTCATCTTCTTAATCTTTGTTCGATTCCAGACTGTTGAATCTTGTTATACTTTTGCCTCAGCATAACCAACATCATCAACATTGCCATCATTATCTTCACTCTCATCCTTGACATAAAACTCACCATCATGTCACAATCATTTCAAATACTTTCAATGATATTATCTCTACTTATTCAACTGATACCTTAAAGGAATGATAGGTTTCCGCTTCAAAAATATGCATTTTTCTACTGAAATCACATGACATCAAGATGGCTGAACTATAATTTTTGACAAAATTCAGTAAATTTTTCTGTCACAAGTGCATGTATTAATAGTTAAAACTAATTGTCATTTACTTTCATAACTATTATTTTCCCGATATGTGCAGTAATATAATTATTTGACATAGTTAATTTATATAATCTGAATAGAAAAGATATACTCAGTATGTCTTGATAGGAGTAAAAAAAAGATAAAACAACTTTCAGCCTATCAATGAGCTTAATATAAGGAACATACAATACAAGCACATAAAAATTAAATACTTACTAACAACTTTTAGTTAAGTACTGTTACTGAAGAACAAAATACAACAGATTGTGATATTTTTGTAACTGTAATATGAAATAGTTTGATACTGCAAGACCATGTAATATTCAATATGTGAAAATTTGTTGGTGTTTATTCTGGTAACTTTAATACTGCAACAGAAGCACAACTTCTATGAAATACTTAACGAATTTGTTTCAAGTGCATTCATGATTTGTAATGTTTAACTGTAATTTCCATGATCATGTAGCGCAAAAGAGCAGTATTGTTTTATTGTTTTACATTTTGAAGACAGTGGTGAGATACAGTTTTATTAGGTTTGTTTAAGTGTGTAATGGACCATTAAAGGCTATTATCAAACACAGAGGGAAAAGAAAATGTTTTTGCTAACATTTCAATACACATGTCAAGACAAAATAGCTATGTATACAACATAATTATGTTTCTTGGTTGTTTCAAATATTCTCACAAAGCTACACAAGGGCTAACTGTACTAGCCATCCTGAATTTTGAACTAAGAGATTAGAGTGAAGGCAAACAGATAGACAATAGAACCCTCTGCCAACTCTTTGGCTACTCTAACCACTTAATGGAATCTGACTATCACTTTTATAAGGTACCCAAGGCCACAAAGTGAGCAACATAATTTTTTGGCAATGACCATGGACTCTTGGATTCACAGTCAAACAAGCTAACCACTAGGCCATGCCTAGTCCATTATGTTTTATCTTCTAAGTTTTACAAGTGTCTGTATACTGGTGTATGTCAGACTTGCAGATCATCTTTAGTAATCGTTTCTTTATGCTTGCAAAATTAATATTTTTGATTATTACTTTTGTTTAAGTTAAATTAAATTTACTTACTTTAGATCCTGGAAGTGGAGGAAAAGATGTTGCTTCAAAATCAAAATCTGTAGCATCAAATTTCTCTTCCATGTTATTACCATTATCCTATAAAGAAATGTTAAGAAAAATGCACTTGCCAATATTCTTACTGCAAAAAGAAACTCAAACAATATTTTTATTACCAGTGTCCCAAGTGTCAAGCAAAACAGTGATTAAAAGGTCAGTGTCATTTGCAAAACGTTACTGCATTTTTGCCACCCAATCAGAATTCACATAATAAAAGTTCAGGTAAAAACACATTTCAATCATATATGGGTACCAAAATAAAAATAACTAAATAAAAAGTCAGATAGAGTTTGATGATATAAAAGTTAACTAAAACAACAAAATGTTTATATTCTTGCTTTATTGCTTAAGCAGCTTGAAAAATTTAAAAATGAATAAAAATGTAAAACATTAAGAATACGTTAGTACAAACAAAATATTTGCCTTGAACACACTAATGGTTGAGATTTTGAATATGCGAGTCAGCATGTCCAGTGACAACCACAGTGGAACAGCATGTGTAAGAACTACATTTTGACATTGTTTGTCCTTTCATGTGTAGTGTGATGCTACCAAAAACTGATCACCTTGGGAAGGATATGTAATAGTCCTTTAAGATATAAAAATATTCATACACTCTGATGATGAAGATGTATTCAAACTGGAGATTTAAAATTTACAAGATGGTGATATCCCTTGTACTTAATGGCATTGGAAAATAAAGGAGTATGGAACAACTTGGGGCACCAGGACCAACCAGAAAGAAGTCTGCAACATGTCATATCTCAGCATTTATGAACAAATTGCAGTATCTTGTAAGATGCAAGAATACAAAAACAAAGGTCAGTGGCAAAAGCCACCAATGTGTCCCAGACAAAAGTATGAAACATGATCAAGAAGAATCTCCATCTGTTCAACTGTAACATACTTCCAGAAACTAGAGAATGAAACTGGTATTCATATTATTCCATGTACAGACATAGTAGTCAAGTTGCCAGATGCAGCACCCATGGGTTTCTGTGGAAAAGATACGAGGAGTTCTATGCTTTGGTCTTGATAACTTTAAGATGGAGCCTTTTGCAATGGAAACTATGCTGAAAGGCTATTTTCAAGATCCACAATCATCAAAATTGCCCTGGCCAGATGTGGCATCATGGAATTTATTCAATTTCTGTAGTACACATTCATTTAAATATTTAACATATTATATCACCAAATTATATCCATTGAAATACAAAAAAAACAAGCCATATCCTTTAATGGTTGTTTATAATAGTAAAAAAAAATATTATAAAGACAGTACAAACACTAAACTGTTTGATGGCATGGCACCAGACGTTTCAAATGTGTCACTGACAGTGTTAAATATGCCCTGTGATTCTCAACTAGTATATCAAAGTTATCCTTATATGAAGCCACTGTAAACATTATTTGTATAATATGGTTTTAAACATCTTGTATGATGTCAAATTTTCCTGAATAAAATTTGTGGTCCTCAATGTGCCTCTGATGAAATTTTGTTCTCCAAAAATGGGTAGTTAATGATAATACTTAAGAGAAAAAAAAATAAAATATATATCACACATATATTCAATGAATGTAATTTGTTGCTGACTATGTCGCACTTTTCTATTACATTGTTCGATCTTTATTTATATACATCACACTGTACCTTAGATAAACTCAGTAAAATCTAGTTATGTAATGACATCTACATAGTTAAGGAAAACTACTTTATTATAATATCAGGCATTTCTGCATGTTGTTAAGGTTAATAAAGTTATGTGAACATTCAGAACAGTATAATATTTATACAAAGCAACACAAGCTGCTCAAAGTCAGCTAACTTCGTGTTTCATACTAATTTTCTGTTGCTGACTTCTGCTCAAATTAGCACCAAGACACACACAAGGTTACTATACTCAGTTCTTAAAAAAGATAACCTTTGGACTTTTGTTTATAACATTTACGAAATGACCAAATGTATGCAGACATGAGGCATAATAGGACAGTTCTTTTGTTACTGCAACTACAGATGTTCAAAACATTTGGCACAAGAACAAGTCTTCAGTAAAAGGAATATTTGGATAAACTAATACATAAATTCAATTAAAAACAACAAACTTTTTTTTAATTTGTGCAACAAAATTAATTTTATTTGAGAATATACTTGATGTTTCAATGCTTCTCAATGTGCCATCTTCAGGAGTGTAAATCACAAGAACATTACACTGTTTATAACTTATCTTTACAAGACACAGAATTTCAAGATGTTGGAAAAATTAAATTATACCTAGTAATAGCAGTGTCACACAGAAGATAATCTGATGATGAGCAAACTATTGTATACAATGAGTTTCAAAGAATATATATTCATGATTTGCTATTTTTATGTATATTTTATCAAACAGAAAGCAAAAATTTTTACAAAATTTCATACTCTTCCTAAATCACCTAAAACACACACAAATTGCCTTTAAATTATTATAAATATTAGTGGGTAGCTGGGATAGGAAAATATGGACACAGTTTAAGGAACTAATACAGACAATAGAATATCCTTAAAAAAAAAGTGTACAAATGACTCATAATTTGAAGTTTAACTAACTAGAATCTGCTGCATAATTCTCCTACTATATACTTTGTTACTGAGTTGGAACTAAAACTCATTCAGAAGTTACAAAAACACTTATTCTTTCCTATAGGATCCAACAATTCTTAACAGAACCATGCAAAAATAAGTTCTTATTCTGTCAGAATTTAATTTTCTTTTGGACACATTTTGAATGAATATACAGTATTCCATTAATTATATGCAGGGCAACTTTAGTGACATATCACTCAAGTGGTGGTATGTAGTTCACAAATGACATTCTTTTTAAACAAATCATTTGATGAATCAGAATGAAAAAGAAGAGTGCTGTAACAGTGTTCACAATGCATGTTCCTGATCCTCAATAACCAGGTAACTAGATAAACCAAACTTATTTTTCAATTGAGTATTTTAATTTTTTCATAATTATCGAGAGAAGTATATGAAATTTCATCCCTCTGTTGATCACATTAATTTCAGCTGCTGTATAGCTAAGTATATAATGCTTACTGTATAACACTAGAACCACAATGGGGTCAATTGTATGTTCTTCTCTACTACATATCTATACAAACACACTGCCACATGGTTAAATAATATTTTATGACAAACATATTTGCAATTTCTGTGTACATTGAAAACAACATTTTAAAATTCATTCCAACACTACACTCTAATATTATTCACAAAAATGCACTTTTTTTAGGACTACCTCCCCTAGCTGAGTTCCAATTGCATTTTACAAGTTGCACCAAGTGAGGAAAATCTAGTTAGCTTAACTGATGTGATTTATTTTCAACAAATTTTATAAATGTTTTCCTATATAGTACAGTGCATTATTAGTATTTAGATACCCTACTCCAAAAGCTTTCAAATGAAAATGAATAATACAATTTTAAACCATGTCACACAAAGCTGAATGGGACAGATGTTGAAATACACTGTCATACAGAAGTGGGTCCACAAAATTTTATATTGTTATTTAAAGACAAAACACCTAACACCAGAAACACCTCAAAGAAGAACTGTGGATGTTAGGCTTAAGCTTGTCTTAGTCTCAGATGAAGAATTAACTTTAACGGATACAAAAATTGGCAGTACATAGGCCAAAGCATAAATTGAAAAACAGATCTAGACAGCAAACAGTGTTGATAGTGACAGAGTCAAACATTAGAATTGATAATATTTAACCCAGAACTCCTGCAAGACAGAAAGAAAATTGATGAAACCCTTGCAAGAATGATGGCTATGAACTACCAGCTATTGTTAATTTTCCATAAAGAATTCAGGACTTACTCATTTGTTGAATCCATCCTGGGTATTACAATAAGCATTCTTGCAATAATAGGTATACAGTTTCATGGGAAAACCTTTGCAGAAATGCCACAAAAAATAAATATAGCATTAATATGAGTTAACTATGAAATGAGGAGGGGGAAAAGCACCAAATGAATCAAGTCTGAAAATTATATCTTTTGTGACTTTTCTGCTCTAGTTCCATTCTAAACAACTATCAACATGGAATTCCACTACCCATGCCTATTCCAGTAACTCGTCTAGTAACTAAATGGAATGAAGGAAACAACTAAAAACCTAAAGATGGAACTTTTTCGTACAACAAAAATAATGCACTTACAAGGCAAAGTAGTCAGTTGTCACTGACAATGCTCATTGTGGAAAAGCTTAAATAAAGGTATAAAGGTTTAGTTGTGGTTAAATAAAGGTATAAAGGTTTAGTTGTTTCTGCTTTAAAGAAGCTCAAACTGTTCAAAGGATAAAATCCAGAAGTTAGAGTTTTAGTAAAATATTATAAGGTGGAACTTTAAAAAAACATGCTAGCTTAGTTTTAACATGTATAAAGGTCTAGAAACTTGCATGTGTCAACTACCTGCCAACTTTATTTCAGAAGAATGGAAGGTTTGTTCAAACCATCCAATGATGTAACAACAGGAATTAGTTCATAGAAGACTGCAAGTATCCAAAGCAATTATGGAAAAACAAGCTGCTGAAGGCCACCAGTTTCTCCTCATGATTACTGTTTTGTGTTTTATTTGTTTAATTATCATTATTTTTAGCATTTGTACTTTAGCAATGTCCAAAGACTTGTGTAAATTCATTGTATTCTGCTTTAGACACTGAAGATGGAATCTGATAGAATTCCGAAACTTTTATCCATGTCCCCTTTTTGTTAATAAACAATGTTGTATATCATAAGTGTCGTAATCTTGTTTATTAAACTTCGTTTTCCTTCAAACACATCGATTGCTAATCACAATAAAGAAGTTTTAGTCACTGATAACATAAGCTTTGTATCTGTTATGAAAAGATGGTTTTACAGCAATACTATATCTCAAACATTAAGCTTGTTTATTTACTTTTTTGAGATTACATTTTCACTTTAAGCTACCTATCTTGTTTCTGTAATTTTTTAAAGATCCCTATTCCTAATTTTAAGTCATTTTTTTAT